GGAACTAGATGGTCTTTAAGGTCCCTTCCAACCCAAACCATTCTGTGATTCTATGATTCAATAAGTAAAACTGCAGACACATAAATGGTGTAACTCTGGGGAGTTACATCTCATGTAACTGTCCATCACCAGTCGGATGTGCTAGAAATGTTTGATGAATTAATTGTAAATGTAGCTCTGGCGTCTCATTTTCTATTATAAACTCCAGACATATGATTCATTGACTTTGTCAGGAGAACAGGCCCTGTTTATACATGCACTGCACAGCAAGTGACAAATAAGCAATAGGCAAAAAGCAGTGGTCAAGAGTCATTATTTGTAATAAACCAACAGTCATTTAATCAATCCCTGTTTGAATGCAGAACTTCTCCTACCTCTCTCTGCAGATTGATGTCTGCTCCTTGTAACACCAGTTCCCGTACACAATCTATGTGGCCGTAGTAAGATGCTACCATCAGAGCTGTTGTGCCAAGCTGGAAGTGAGGAAAAACCAGTCAGTACCTTCAACAGACATCTTCAGCACCGAATCAGGCTGTCTGGAAGAGACAGCACTTCTGAAAAGCTGAAGGAAGCTTATCATCATGGGAAAACTTGCTACCGTTTCAACTACTGTCGAGAATACTCTGAAAATGAGCAATTAGCAGGTGTTAAAGCAAAAACGTTACAGACTTGCTTGCAGTGCTAAGGCCTGACCAACTGACAAATATGTATGCAATGACTTCACCTTATTGTCCTGAGATAAGTGCAATGAAAGTAACAAGAATATTTTTGGTTTATACACAGCATTTTTATCAAAGAATCCTAAAGATCTTTGCATCATTTCCTGAAGAATAACCTCAGGCACAGGAGCTTAGTGACTTAGCTGAGTCACTTAATTCTGAGTCATAGTCAGGAGTAAGGTCTGGGTGATTTGAATACTAATTTCCTATGCAAACGATGAGAGCAAACTCACTCCGTGACTCTTCACATTATATAAAGATCTTCCCATACCAGAACTATGCCTTCATGTTCTGTCAGTACACCACAAGGTCACTGCTCCAGTGAACCAAGTAAGATTTAGGTTACGTGTATATGGTGTACGGACAATACACGGGGACCACATGCATGAGGATGAAATTCAGCCTTCTAAAACATTCACACACCCCAGTTTAATTTAAAGAAGGAATGTGTAACCTTACGAAAAATAAGCACGCAGCCTTAATTGTAGGAGAATATTTTAGTCTAGAAAAGGTGTATGCCAGATATAATTAATATCAAGATATTTTGAAGTGCACTATAAAAATTCTTGACCAAAGTTAGCCTTCTTTTGCGAAAAAATGAGCAGTAGTGGACTTTAGTTCTTTACATTGATCTCTGTCTTGTTTGCTTCATGCCCCCACCTGGACATCCTTCCCTCCCTGTCAGAATGACAGCCATAGCATCAGCTCCAGAAGTACTGCAGGACAAATACTTGCCTACAGAGCAAAAGTGAAATGAAAATGCAAAGACAAGTTAAAGTCAATGGGCTGAAAATCCCTTGCATTTTGAAAGTGTTCAAAGTGTGAGAAGCTGTGGCAGGTTCATGTTTCAGGCTGGAAGTGGCACTAATCCTGTACAGCACAGGCACGACTCTCAGTAAATCAGTCCCAGCACCAGACAAAAGAAACCTGGGAACTTCTCAATCTCAGTTTTCCCCTGCTCTCTGCAGTAGCTTAGTACAAACAAGTGTCTCTCCAGATGTTGTAGGCAGAATAGCAAGACTGTGTTTTCAACTCATTTCCAATCCCAAAACTAATTTCAACTCATGCCAATTACAGTAAGGAAATCCCCATGAAATCTTTCTGCCATGTGTCTGGGCTCTTCTTTGCTTGGAAATCATACCATGCCTTCATGTTGGTGCCAAGCCTGGGAGATACTGGGGTTGGGGTGAGGAAGGAGTTAGGAGGCCAGCAGATCTTCTTGACAGCACTGCTGGGTGTAGGACACTGAATGCCAGACGGAGCGGGAACGGCTGCACACCAAATGCAGACTTCTACATCGCCTACATGGAAACTGTGATTCAGGGGTATTTTAAAAACACTAATTATGAGGAGCTGTGCTAGCTGACAGAATCATTGCTACCTGGGCTCGTCTGAGTCGACTCCTCACCATGATCTATTACTGCAACGACATTTTCTTGCAAAGAGAAGCCTGAGGTGCTAGGATCTGTGTTTTAAGTGTCAGCGCCACAAATAACTGTGTAAGACACATTTTTGAGTGCTGGCAAATTCCTAACCCCTTGTCACTGATGTAAATCATCATGCTATTTCATCTGGAGTTTCAAACTTGCTTCTTGACAAGAGAAGGCTTTAAATCACCCCCAAGTGCCACAAGACTCTCAAATGTCTCGTGTTAGGTCCCTGCCGCAGCAGGCTATGGGGAGCAATGTAAAATCGGTGCCGTGGGTGTAGGTGCGTTGTGTGCCTACGCTGTCTTTGCAGTCCACGTCTACTCGCCCACTGTTCAGCAGCAGCTGGAGGAGAGCCAGGTTTCCTTTTCTTGCAGCCCAAAACGCAGCATTGGCGAGGGGTGTGTCTTTCTGGTGAAAAATAAACAAAAACAAACAAACCAGAAATAAAATACTCTGGAAGATACATTGGACAAAAACACGTGCAAGTTTTGCATTCAAGCCAGGCAAGTTTCAGCTTATTGTGCTGTTCTTTTAAAACCAGGGCCTGGAAGGAAATCTAATTTAATTTCTTCGTGCAATTAAAAAGATCAGTCTCCCTGTGCTACCTCATGCTGTTTCAGGACTTTCCTGTGTCGATGGCAGCCTATGTCTTTTAGCTTGCTCTGCAATGAGAGATGACGGTGCTAGTCCAGATCCGCAGGGAAACGTCACAGAAACCAACGTGCTAACTGGTACCTGTATTGTCTGCTTCTGTGATGGGCACAGTTAGAGAGACTGAATCATCCTGCTGACGCGTCCTGCTGCAGGACACCCTCCTGGGTTTCAGGTTAGCTCTCTGCCATCTCATTTGCTGCATATAAAGTCCCAAGACAGGAAAAGTATTGCTCATGCACCTCCCATACTGTCTGGTTTGCCTACTCCCTGGAACTAACACACTGTAGCTGTGGACACATGAGATATCTCCTGGGTGATGCTAGAAAAAAAAGGCTAAGATCTTACTGTTTATCGACTTACGGGTTTGTTTACTAGGTATGCAAGGCAATAGGTGAGGCAAAATTAGGAGACTGAAATCTAGATAACACAGACCATTGTTAAACAAATTGGTAGTAATATAATAGTCTTTTGAGGCTTTCTTAGTCCTAGAAACACCACCACGTGTGACTTCTCGTGGGTAGCAACAGCTTATCACTTTCCGGCATAGGAAGAGAACAGCAGAAAAAGACACAGACTTTGTTTCTCACCTCCTTGTCTGATCCACGCAGGCAGCTGCTGAAATGCTGCCCTGACAGGTAAGCACTGTGCCAGGTGATGTGCGGAGGGGAAACAACGTTGTGATGGCAACGGTACGTATCCTAGAGCAGGTTCATGCTTGTTGATTATTTAATGAGGCACAAACCCACCAGCAGTTCAGTAAAGCATCGTTCCACTGGTAGTCATCTTAAAGCAAAACTGTCAAAATTACCCAGGGACCTTGCTCTCCAGTGAATCCTACCTTCAGGATAACCCGAAGAGAGTGCAGAGTGGATATAGAAGTCAATCATTCTGCTTCAGAAAATGTAATACACACTCCCCCTTGTCTAAATGTCAATGTGCATGTGTAGAGAATCAGGACTGAATCGTTTTATCGCCGATATTTCAAGTGCAGTTTAAATTGCTTCCTTCACCGACATGTAATAAACCTCACGGAAACCGGCAGACACAAGACCAATCCTGTGTGAATCTCTCCCAGATTCGTCGCACTGAGCACTTTCCATGGGTTGCATTTTTAATATTCATTGTTTGGAAAACTGTTTAAGATGAGAGAAGTTTCAACCATTCAATAAATTGTAAGACACTTCCTATGAATTGATAGCAATATTTCAGCACACGCAGGGCCAGGAGTCTGAAAAATTTAGCAAGCACAATAGGCAAAATTCAGATCTTCCCTTTACAGCTAATATATTTTCCTGTGTGAATCTGTAGATAATGTTGGTCAAAGTAGAGCTAGCAGTTTAAACCCTTCTTGCTGGCAATACAGTAGCGTTTTCCAATCTTTAACCTTACGACCACTAACATTTTATGTAAAAGCAAGCAGTTGACCCCAACACACAATGTCTCATATTGCCCTTTTTCCTCTGATTTATTAGGGAGATATTTATTTATAGAGCTGGTAGTTAGGAATATTGTCTTCATTATTATGATATTCAGTGGAAAGCTACTGCAAAAAAAAAAAAAAATTTAAACCTTACCGAATGGGAAATGAAATTTCTTATCTTTTATTGTCTCACTCTATCCCTTAAGAAAGCTTTGAGGTATGTCAATATATCCATACAGGGAAATATTTATTTCATCCAGACCAGTTTTCACTATGAGGGCACAGTAGCAACGTGATTACATTTTATTATGCCTACCATACAGCAACGCCTTTGTTGATCAGTTAGGCAGGAACTGGAGCCAATACTCAGGAATTCTTTACCTGCTTTCATCAGTTTACGTGAGGAGAGAAGCAAGTTGCCGGTGCTGCCCTAGTCTGGAAGTAGAAGTCCAAAGTCTTTGGCCTTATGAGTCATAAATTCCTACCACTTTTTTTCCCCTGTAATACCTACAGTGGCTCTCCAGCAAAGTTGTCCTCATACTTTGGATCAGACCCAAGGACTGGAAGAGTTCTCCAGTGCATCAAGGACACGAAATCAGGTTCTTCCCGGTGGTGCTTTTGACCCGATTTGGAATGATTGCAATCAGTACTTGTACTTTCCCCCATGCCCCTGGGTTGCTGGGGATTCCTGGTACAATAGTAGCGTATACGGCACACGCAGACTTATCAACCATGTGGTGATTAGATAAAAAAAGCAAACACAAATATGAGTTATTTTTCCTGCTACAATGAATGTAATGTGCAAAATCATTCACATGATCTAGGCACCTTACAAGGACAGCCTCGAGGAGTTCCATATGGCAATTCCTCTTCTCCTTTCAAACGAAGGATTTATACCCCTGTACTCTTCATTTTCAGGCAAAATGTAAGACATTGCTTTCAGATTAAAAATCTGATTAATTGAGTGATTTTTGAGCAATGAATGAGTTTTAAACTGCAGGATGTGGCATGAGCCTTGACTGTTCTTGTTCAGTTATGAATTCAATCCTGTCTCATCACACACTTCTCAGGTAGAGGTAATGTTGCATTTCAAGACATCAACTGGACACAATTTTCATTTAATTCTTATTATAAAGCTAGTCTGCTCCTACAGCCTCCGTAAAGTAAACAACTGATCCTCACCACTGACAGTCTGGCAACAGAACGTAATAAATGCTTGAAAAAGTGATTAGCTAATAGCTTCGGTAAAAATGACATGTTTCATTATGTCGTGTGCTCCAGCATCAGCAACTTTCAGGGTACAATCTTGTCCACTTCCTCAAGATCTTTAAAGCTTTATTTCAAACTCTGGCCATGCTATTTGTTTCCATTGTTTATATGCTTTTATGAGAGCCCAAAGATGAAAAGCTGGCATTGTATTCATGATGTACTGACATCAAGAAAAATACTTAATAAAAAATGGAAAATACATGTTATAAATCTGACAAGACCATCTCTATGCAGGAATACAGAAAAAATAAAATGTGATAATGTATCTGTACGTTGCATCGTAGGAATATTGAGGGGAAAAGTATTTAGATGCTGTGACCAGCAGCTCCGGCTCCCTGCCCCACCTCTGACTTGCTGTTGGCAGAGAAGAGGCAGGTCACAGTGAGGTAAGAGCTGAGAAGGAAGAGTGCAATTCTTAAATGGTGATCTTGAAAATGAAAGAAAAGAGGCAATAGGCAAAGAGAAAGGAAAGAGAGGAGAAAGAGAACACTAGCCCAGTGGCTTGTTCCTTGTACTGTCAAACTACAAGAAAATTCCCTTTCTGTTCTGTTTCCAAACCAATCCTAATGGAAAGGAGGAATTGAATAAAAAAGTTTTAAGAAGAACTGGAAATTGGGACCAAGAATGATACAATGGAAAATGTTAGTGGGACTTAGGAGGAAAGAGAGGGGACTTTATGAGATAGCAATACACCCTACATGAAGGATCCTGATAAAAAAGAAAGGTCACTCAAGATAAAAATGTAAGTTTAGACCAGTAAAAGCTGGTAGAAGAAGAGAGGATATTCACGTGTACAGACAGTAAGAAAGAAAGATAAATGCCACCTCATGGTTAAGTGGGATAGTAGGATGGAAAACATGAATAGACAGTGGCAAACAGAAACTGTAGGAATCCAAGGTAAGTATACAGTCTTCTGAGAGAAAGAGAAAATGCCAAGCAAAAAGACACAGGAAAGACAGAGAAAGCAGAGGGAGTTGGAGGCTGCAATTCTCCAGGGGTGAGGGAGCAGGCAGTGAGCTACCTTGAACGGGAGTACTTGTGGGAATGGAAAGAGAGAAACAAGGCATAGAAGAGGATCCAATAGGGACAGAACAGAAAAGAAGCCCTGATGGACAAGATAAAAAACCAGTTAGGAGGCTGAAAAAGGAGAAGGTGGCAAGAAGAAGGGGCTGGCATCCCTATGAACATGGGGGTAGTATCCTTTTGGGTGGATGCTTGTGGGAAATAAACTCACAGAGACAGAATAGAGAGACAGAAGAGACTAAGGCTAAGGAAAAAAAAAAAACAAAACCCCAAACCAAACAGGTATGAGATCAATGGAGGGCCAAAAAAGGGGATGACCACAGAGATTTCACCACCCAGCGTGAGGCTGAGCAGAGGTGCCCTGCTCCCTGCCAGAGCAGGGCTTTAACTGCAGATGGACACCACCTGCTCCACCGCCACCCAACCAACATGGTGCCACCGTGCTCCAGCACTCCCAGCGAGGAGACACGCTGACAGCAGCGGGATGCAAGCACAGGGAATAACCCATCAACCACAGCAACGCAACACAGCAAACACGGCAAAGGACTGGCACAGAGCTGGTGATCGATAAGAGGAGGGCCAGCGCAGCATCCAGAAAGTGCGTAACGGAGAAGACGTACATCTCGCGTAAATACTATCCATTAGCATCCGAAGCAAACTGCTGCTTACTTCCCTCTTTGCCGATCGGTTTTATTAATCCTGTCCTCAGATCAAACAACTTAACTTTAGGCGACCTTTTGAAAATTACTGGTCTTGCGTGGTTTTGGATGGAAGAAGCACAAAAAACAACAGGAATCACAGGCAGAAAAGGGAACGAACCAGTTTCAGGGGCCACCACCCTGAAACGAAGAGCTGCCTCCTAACTGTTACACAACCAGCGCGGGCAGAGATGATGGGGAAAGTGCAGAGGCGGCTCCCGACCGCACCAAAACCCGCAGCGCTGAGCGCGGACACCCCCAAGCCGGGGTAAGCGCATCCTTCCGGGGGTGTC